ATTTACAAACTCATTAACATATTATAGGAGATAAATAAACAGTTTCTATTATAAGTGAAAGTACAACATAAAAAATAATATAGGGCAATCAATTATTAGTTAATTCATTCAAATTTATACAAATATGAAATCCTACTATTGTGCAAAAAATAAGGAAAGAGGGGCAGAAATATATGGACTAAATTACAAATGAATATGAAGAGAGAATAGAGAAAAATAACAACTAACAATAAAAGAAAAGAAAAAAAAGAAAAAGGAAATAACAGAAAGTAATAGGACTTCTTTGAGCGAAAAGTTTATTTTTAATCAAGCAAATCCAATCATTAATTTCATAAATGGATTGATCTCATTATTCTAACAAAATGGAAGAGATAGACATTTTCATAAACATTTTGTATTACAGCAATGCTAGGTGGCCACAAATTATGTGGCTTGAATGGCTCAAAACACCAAAAATGACGTTGTTTTGACAGTTTCAGACCATTTGAGCCACAAAATTTGTGGCCCTCAAACCTTTTTCTTTGTATTATTATGTAGATGACCTTAGATGCTGTTAAAACTTGGCATGAAAGTTGGATAATATAAAGTGGCCATTATTAGAATGTTAATAATTGTTTCACGTTAGTTCAATATATATATATATATATATATGTATTGTTTCTATGTCAACATTGGAGAATTAAAGTTGGATTATTTATTGTAATAAGGTCCAATCCAAATCAAGTTTGTTGAGATTTGTGAAGTGCAATGATAACTAGTATAAATTGAACACCAATGCTATGTCCAATTATTTTAAATTTGACTAAGAAATATATCCAATTCAACGTGCCATCTCTAGCAAATTTATAAATTGAAGTATTTTAATTTAGTTCAAATTTGGATAAACTTTTTTATTGACATCTTTGTTTTGTAAGTAAGTAGTTTTTAGTTTTGCTTTTAGTCAAAAACTCATACTAATAGCCCCAAAATTTTGAAGAAAAACATAATAACAATAATAGCATTAATGGAAATTTTCCAAAGAGGGAAGGATGAAAACCCATAAATACCAAATTTTCCACCTGTCAAATTTTAATTTGGCTATTGAAATATATATATATATATATTGTCAAGCAATCTACAAAATTGTACCTGATTAATATCTTTTGGATCCTACAAATATTATTTATTTATTTTACTGCATCGTTATTGTTGTATTATTGTGGATGAAAATTGCTTGGTAGCTCGAAATGGAGCGACTTGAGTGGCCGGAAAAGCACTATTTTTCACTCTCCTCTCTATCTCTATGTCTTTCCTTTCCCCTCCTCTCTTCTACTGTTTATCTTCTTGAAACAAAAAACACTCTCTCTGTTCCCTCATCCTTCTCGTTCCCCAAATCTCTTTCATCCCTCTCATCTCCCTTAAACCTTCCGATTGCTCTCTGATCGCGGAATGAGGCCGAACGACATATTTGGGTTTGATTTTGAGTTTGGATTCAGAAAATCCCAAAATCAACATAACGAAAATGATTAATTTCAATAAACAAATGATCTATTGGTTGTGCTTTTGTATTGAAGAAAATGATTAATTTCAACAAACAAATGATCTATTGGTTGTGCTATGATTTGTATTGTTGTCTGGTTTTTGTTGGTTTTGAAGAAGTTCTGATATATATGTATACACACACTGATATATATGTATAGTGAACAGTGATATTGGTTTTATAGCTAAGCGGCCATAAAAAAAACCGCCGGCCGGGCAAAAAACCTGTTGGCCGGCAAAAAAAAACCGCCGGTCAGCCAACTTTGAGCTTGATATTTCTTGTTCTGTTCTGCGGTTTTTTTTTTTTTTTTGAAATTGTTGTGTCTGTGGGTTTGTTCCTCTTCTTCTGAGTTTGGCCGACCGACTGTTTTATTTGGCAGGCTGTACAGTAGGTCTTGAATTTCACAAACTTGTGAAGGAATTGGACCTGAAAGATTATTGAAAGACAAATCAATTCCAAGCAGATTCAAGAAATTGAAAATTGACACGGGAATTGAACCTGAAAGATTGTTGTGAGAAAGTGAAACAAACTTTGTTTTGCTACAATTCTTAAACAAAGCTGATGGAATTTGTCCAGAATACCTATTTCCAAACAAATCAAGAAACTAAGAAACCAACAATTACTACAACAACTCCTCAAACCAACGTTGACAAATGAAACCAAACTATCTGAAGACAAGAAATTCACGAACAGGTTAGTGGTTAGCGGCGGCAAAGGGAGAATTTTGGTGGTCGTCGGTGGTCACCCAAGTCGATGGTTAGCAGCAGCACCCAAGTCAAATCGGTGGTTAGCAGCAACACACAGGTCGGCCAGTTCCGCTAGGTCGCGAGCTACACTTTCGTCGTCCTCTCTCTCTACTCTCTCCTCTTCTCTTTTTTTGGAAATCAAACGCGTGGTTTTTGTTCATGTATGTGTGCAACTGGGCAAAAGACAAACAACAATGATAGAGACCACTAATTTTAGAGCTCTAAAAGACTACTAATGACATGACCCTTAATAAAAAAAAAAAAAAATACAACACCAAGGTCAAAACATCAAATCATTCCTGGTGAGACCCACTGCCACATCATTAGTGATAGCACTAATTAGTGCTCTCACTCATTTTCCAAAGACAAAGGACACGTTGCCAGCAAATTTGGGCCATTCGAGCTCCATTACGTAGCAGGACTGATTATGGATAGTCCTAAACATGTATTACATTTTTTTATCAACAATGCTAGAGGGTCACAATTTTTGTGGCCACAATAGCTCAAAACTGTCAAAACGACGTCGTTTTGGCATGTTTTGCACTCAAAATGACGTCGTTTTGGCAGTTTTGAGCCATTGTGGCCACAAAAATTGTGGCCCTTAAACATTTTCCTTTTTTTATTTCACCTTTTGATTATCTAATATTTAAAACGTTGTCTTAGTTTGGAAGTAACCTTAACCTACCGAAGTAAAATTTTGACCTTTTGATTATCTAATATTTAAAACGTTGTCTTAGTTTGGAAGTAACCTTAACCTACCGAAGTAAAATTTTGAAACTAAAATAATGAAAATAAGGGGTGGTTTGGTATCCCTTATATAATTTATTTTTTTATCTTTTTTTATCACATTATTTCTTTATTTTTTTGCATATTTTTCATAAAAAGGCAAAAAATACACTTATTTAAATCATTCTAAACAACCCCTAAATACTAAAAATATTTTTGTTCAAAAAAATAAAATCATATGAAAATGAAGATTTTTTATTTTTTTTTATTTTTTTTTTGTGTAGATGAAACGCCAATAAATCTCAAATAGTGATCTTATGAACTATTTGTTTCTCCATTTTTTCTCATAGACCCAAGAGTCTCATTCTAGTGTGAATTACATAAAGCGTCAAGTATAACACTACAACAAAAAAAGGTTTTTGGAGCGCACAATGCACGCTATAAAAATCATTCTACGATGTGCAGCGGCATGTCATATTATGACTAGTTATGGAAAGTCATTCACTTTCAACGACATGTTTCATACGCCGTTAAAAACTATTTAACGGCAGATTTTGTGCGTCGTCGTTAATTTTTCTACGACATGCTATAGTCCGCCGTTAAAAACTATTTAACGGCAGATTTTGTGCGTCGTCGTTACTTTTTCTACGACCACTTTTGCATGTCGTTATTTGGTGGGACAAATAACAGCACTGATTGTGCGTCGTAAAATATATAATACAACAACTTGCTCAGCCTGCCGTAGATAAGTAGAACATACCACGACATACATGGAATGTTATAGAATATTTCATATAATGACCTAATTTGCTTGCCATAGAATGTGCATTTTTTATTTTATTTTTTAATTCAGCAGGTTCTATTTGACGTGTTTTGTACAATTTAATATTACAAACAAGATTCACCAAAAATATCAATCAACCATCAAAATATTATTTCAACCATAAAAAATAAACTATATCTATAAATTATAAACATTCAAAAATTGTCAATATATACATTCCAAACATCCAAAACCTAACTGCAAGTCCAAAAACATCCAAAATGACTATCCTTAAGTTCTAAATTATCCAAAAAGTTATAAACCATCCAAAATTGTACAGATATAAGTTTGTAAACATTACCCGAAACTATTCAAAAATTATAAAAATCTATTCATTAAAGTCCTCAAAAACTATCTATAGATGTTAGTTCTACTAAAAGTCAAAGCTAATGAAATGGGTTGGCCAAGCAACAGTGCTTCCAATAGCGTCCTCAAGCACAAACATCTCATGATTAGGGCGAAACAATGGCGCATTGACTATGACATGGTTAACCCATACTTTCCAACACCCAAGGCCAAGAGGCACGTGATGTACCAATGCTCTATGAAGCACGGATATGAACACGGACATGCATACAGACACGAACAAAGACACGGACACGGGACACGGCAAATTTTTTAATTTTTTTTATAAATATTTTTTTTTAATACATATTAATTATTTTATTTATTTATTATATTTTTTAAATAATATGTTCCAATTAATTTTTTTATTAGTATATATTATCTTATAATATGCATTATACATTATCTTATAAGTATATTTATGTTATATAATAACTATTATATAATATATAATAATGATAGTTATTACTAATATATATTATATATGAATATATAATAATAGTTATATATATTATATATGAATCAAGACAACAAGACAAAGACGGGAGAGAACCGAGAGAGTGGGAGACAGAAGCGAGATAGAGGGAGTCGATCGCGATCGCGATTGCGAGGGAGAGAGAGAAGACAAGAGAGAGCTCTGAGAAGGCAAAGGCGAGAGAGAGCTCATCGAAGTCAAAGGGAGCTCTGGATCGTCAAAGTCAAAGTCAAAGTCAAAGTCGAAGGGCTCTGGATCGTCGCCGACCAGGTTTGTACTCGTTTTTCCTTTCATGTACTCTTCTCGCCGTGTCCATGGCGTATCCAGATTTGGACACGCGTGTACCCTGCAAAAAAATAAATTAAATTAAGGGGACACGCCAGACGTCGTGTCCCGTATGTGTCTCCGGCGTGTCCCCGTGTCCAACACCGCCACGGCTTCCATTTTGGCGTATCCATGCTTCATAGCCAATGCTTTAGAATCTGTTGATGCAATTGTGCCTTCCGCAACCACCACCTTTGTTCCATCCCAATTCAACAATTTGCATTTGGCATTATCCAAGGATCCACCATTTATAGTTTCATTTGCGTCATACAACTATCATGAAAACAATACATAAGATAAGCTAATGAATTGAAGACAAAATTAAAATTATTATTAATGCCATATAAAATTTACCCAAATATCTTCATCGTCTTCATTGTTTTCGTCACCCTAAAAAAATGTAATACAATATCAAGTTATATTTGTTTATCCAAATTTAGCAAACGATGCGGGATGTATATGAAAATCTGACAAAAGCTCTTGAGTAGAAAAGCAAGCAAGCAAGCAAACAAAAGCAGAAGCACGAGAAAAATGAAAATGAGTAAATTAATAATGCCAAAATGAAAATGGACCTAATTCAACAAACTTGAAAATCACCAAAATTATCATTTTGCTATCAAATAGTCGAATTGCTCCATGAATTTACTTTCAAATGATTACTACATTGTCTAGACAAATATATAGTCTCAAATGGTATTGAGGCAAATGTGTTAATGACATTCAATAATTTTATGAGCAAGAGGGATTGATCCCGATGCTCGAAGACAATAATATTATACCCATCAGCCAGAAAATCAAAAGAGGGAAACAAAAAAAACAATATACATATATAATATTCCAGGAGACAGCTTGATGGTGCCATGAAAAATGACATATACCTAAGCAATGAACATAGGGGGAAATGTTCCAGGATTTTTGCTGCAACTGAAATATTAGCAGCAAGCAGAAACTCCTCAACCATCTGGTTTGCTTCTCGAATTTGATACATTCCAACAGTCACATATCATGCATTAGGAATTAATATTAATACACAAGTAAAACAAAATAAACCACTAAATCATTAATGGAAAAAAGCAAAGTGGAACGAAACCAGAGAACCCAGATAGACATAACTACAGCATGCATCAGATAATTGAGAAACTTCAGCACCTTAATGAAAATTTGGTGGCTGATTTCACTAGGACACTAGACACCAGTTTATAAATGGATATTACAACACTAAACACCAGTTTATATAGGATGATTTGGGCCTTTGAATCCTGAAGGAATTGTAAAGTGTGCAGAGGAAGGATAACAACGACCAAACAACAATATATTTAATGACAACAATGGCTCCAAGTCTCATTCATCGATTAATCCTACAAATGGTATTGGCTACCTCTTAACAGCTAGACTAAATCAACCTTCTTCGTTTAAAAAGGTCAAGTCGACATACCAATATCCAGGGGGTCATGAGTTTCAGTATCAACCTGAAATTTCACTTCAGTGGAGGCAAGAGTCAATGCTCCTCTATCAATACGCCTCTGCCTCATTACCTGCAAAAACAGAGTCCATTCACATATAGCCAATACTCAAATGAATAAATGACAATAAGTATCAACCTGAGTACGAATACCTTTGCTAAAACATTCATATTTCTCAAATCTGTAGTTAGTGGATCCATCAAGCGGCTAAAATATACATGTAAAAAAAAGTCATCAATATGGAAACTGGTAGGCAGGAAGCTTCAAATACAATAAATAAATAAATGCAGATAACCTTCGGGGCAAGAACAGACCCAAAGAGAGTCTAAATGTATAAACTTACATAGGTAACTGGATATCAAAAGGTCAAATGGCCATTATCTTTCTTAATCAGGATTGAAGGCTGTTTTTATCTTTTGTTTACAATATTACTAAGCACCACTGTAACATTCTCAAGCCACCACAACATAGAAACTAGCAATATGAAGCAATTTGACTGACTTATCAGCTTTATCATTTAGTCAATTAAATAACAATCAAAAGCATGCCATTTCGAACAATTCCTTTGGTGTTCAATCATTTGTCAGGTCAAAGGTTCAATAAAACTTGCGTACACCTGAATTAACAAGGGTGGCAAGGGTTTCCATACTCATGCAATGACCGTGTAGACACAAGCAACCTATGCATTCATAATACTGGTGGCCATACAGCGTATGGGTTGGCCTCAATCCTTGACATCTCTCACTCCAATTCATGTGAAAATTTACACAACTGGGTTGGACTTCCATCTGCCTTGATATATACATATATATATATATCTTCTCAAGATATTGAAACTTATATATATCTTCTGAAGATATTGAAACTCAGATTCATTGTACACATGCATCACTGAAGTATGAACAAATAATTAATCAATCCACCATGAAAAATTTGAACACAATTTGTCGGAACAAAAATCCTGGTAAGAATTGAATATATCTTGTTTATTATGAGTAACCTCGGCCTTCTCTGGGTATTCTAAATCTAGATAATTGGTACATCAAATTCTTTGAATGTCATAGTACACATCAAGTATTGCTACTCTGTACTATGCCTTGTTAACTTTTCCATGGTCACAAGCAAAGCTTTAAAATAAATGTCGTGTGTTATAGCTACATTGAGATAATTTAATCATCTCCAATGAAAAATGGTAGTTGATTCATGTTGTAAGAAAATGATGGCCAAAGATTTAGTGGTAAATATGATCATATTATAGAGACTACATAACGCTGAACACTATCTTTATCTCATAAGTTTTTTACTAAGTTAATTAAGGGGTAAGGTATAACAAGAAAAATTAGATATAGCACCTATCATCCATCCTGGCTTGAGCTTCTACATAGGACAATGCTGCACACGACTTGATGACACTTTTCGAGAATCTTGTAGAAATAATCTCCGCTTCAGGTGTCATTTCCTGAAATTCAAATAATATGTCAAAAAAAGGTCCAAAACTTGAATTCACAAACACACGAATACACACAAACCACCAAGATAGGGAAATAAATATATGTAAACACAAAAACAGATACATAAAAGCACAAATGCCCTTTGGTAAGCATACCTTTAGCAAGTAATCCGTTGCGTGTTTCTAACACTCAAGGGCTCAATTATGAGCCAATATGATGTAAAAAATCAAAATAAAACTCTAAGCCAACACCATTCATTGGTACAACTAAAGGAAGTGTATAGTGTGAAAACAAGAATGGAAAAGATGCAACATGTGCAAAAAGTAATTATGGTGAAAAAGATTAATTAACTAAAGCATTCTAAAATCAAAACAACCCTTTGATCCAACAATAGAAAACCTAAATCTCAGGTTAGTTGTTTTTTTAACACAAAAATGGACCATATGATTGGACTAATTGAACACAGGGACCTCTAAGATAAGGAAAAAAATGGCTTATGTTTTCTAAAGTTTATCAGTATTTAGCAACTATTCGACTTTCTTTCCATTCTAGCTTTTTCTTATCTTTTTCCATCTCAGCTCATCCAGATCAGTTGAACAATTTGACTCACAACCCAACAACCTCAATGAGCTCCATTTGAATTGGAAATATTAGCATTACAAGCAATATTTTATGGTTTAATAGACTAAACAGTAAAATGGGTGTACTCACAATTAAAAATAAGAGTGGCCACAAAACTATAATATATTAATAATTAATAAGGTATCAAATTGGCACCATAATCCACAGATATTTGATGTTGCAGGTTTGGGTATTGGAGAGAGTATCAAGAACCAGTGTTTTTCAGGTCAATCAGATACATGTACACTTACAACTCACTAGAAAAAGAAAGCTGAATCATAACAACCACTGATTCAATCATTACCCAGATAACAGAGAATGTTATTCTCTCCACATCAACTCGAAGAGAACAAATATCTGCAATGTAAAACTTCTATTGAGTGAGCTATCCAAGAGCTTCCGTGACAAGAAATTTTAAAACTAACAAACAACTAGCCATAAAATAAATCAGTTGTATGTGCAACCAACAAATTCAACCAAGTTAATGGGAATGAAATATTACCTTCTATTAAAGGTTTAGGAAGCATGTCAATTCGCCGCTCAACAAGGTAGACTAATGTGCCCCTTTGTGTAGCCTCATCATCAAGAGGGGTTCCAGGGTGCACAAAATTTGTAACATCAACAATATATGTTTAAATGGTATTAAGGATTGACAAAAAAGCTCCATGCCTAACTGATAAAAACTGAGAACCACCTTTAGACAATTGGATGTATTAAGACCAACATTAGCCCTAATCTAAGCAAAATATATAAAAAATTAAAATTTAAATTAAAAAAAAACGATTCTTGGAAAATGTGTAAGATGGCCAACAGAAGAAACTCAAAAGAACAGTAATGAAGTCTGAAGGAAAACAAAAGCCCATTTGAGCTCAACAACAAACAGGGAATAAGCATGTGTGCACTGAAGAAATGAAGAAGTGAATCAAACCCAGGGTACACAATTTTTTACAAGTATTCATGCAAAATAGTCAAGAAGACAATTAGAATATTACTATTGCACAAAAAAGTAAAGACTAAATTGGAGTCTGGATCATTTGCTTACTTCAGTTCTATTTTCTACAAAGTTTGGATCATTTGCTTGCTATCTGGACTTGGCAAAACTATTGCCAGAATAGTCGCAAAAAATATTAATGAAGAGGAATGTCCAGCGCCATTAAAGAGAAGCGCTAGCGAAATTTTCCTAGACACACTTGAAAAGTGTTTGCACAATGTTATGTAGCCTGAAAGTAACTACAAAACAGGTTATATTCTTTCTCGCCATGCTTATCACAGAATGTGATTACATTTATGTGCATGTTTCCACATATCCAACCAATTGACTAGTTCATGCCATTTAGTTACTAGATACAACAACGACCAATATTCCAGATAAATATCGTTATGCTCGGTGTTATTGAAGTACCGAACCAGCCAAGCCTAAGTAAAAGCTTACAATAATCACTAAGGAAACTCAAAATTAACACAAAAAACAAAATTTGCAAATCATACTAACCGTGCTGGGTCAAAATCTTGAACTCCAAGGTCCTCATCCCAAAGAAATATATAATCATATTCAGCTACTATGTCTGGATGTAAGAAACGCTTGGCAAACCACCTATGCCACCAGATGATCTTTATATATCCATAGATTACAGATACATATATTACATGAACACCCCACATGGAGAGAAATGACTTGTAATTCATCAGGTAATTACCATTTTGTTTGATTCATGACAGATACATGTATGACGCGGCTACTCCACCCTAAATCGCGCCATTCATCCACAACATCATCGTAATGAAAAAGCATCACTACAAAACCATTTGCCAGAAACTGCAACAAAATGGTAGATGTTAGTCATAAATACAACCAGCAAAAGTCTGTGAGGTAGGAAGCCAATAGAGAGATATAGGCCTGCCACCTTTTCAACAATTTGTTTCACTATTTGCTTCTACTTTATTCCAACTGCAATGGCCAATAAATTTACTGAAGGCTTTGAAGTGATCTGATTCAAAAAATACTAAAATAAGTATAAAGAAAATGAAAAGATAAGAAGTTTTTGATTTATTTGAACCAAATAAAACTATCAGTGTCAAGAAGAAACATTTTCTTTTGCTTTCTCATTTGAATTTTCTTTTTTACTTTTTTTTTTTTATATACGTAAGATTTGAAAATAAAACCTACACCAACCCCACCCTTTAAGGCCCAGAAGTGCTCAGGAGGATTTATACAGAAAATTTTCTCAAGTCAGGCCAGTAATTCACGAGTCATGCTCTGCAAATGCTTAATAAAGAAAAAGAATAAACAATCCTCTAAAAACTTGCAAAATAAATTTTGATAACCATTACATGTAGAAAATCTTAAACTAGTAGTAAAATTTAAGCTTTCATTCTGACATTCATTGAGATATCCAGCTGCTGTTTCACATACATTTTCTGCAACAGGACCCCATAAAGGGCGCATTTCCAAGTTAGAATTTCTGGGAATGCCTCACTGCCAACAGGCCTGCATTGATTCTAAAAGCTAAAGGGAATAAATTTAAAAGCTGGGACATAAAAAAAATATATATACCAAAGAACTTACAAGCAAAACAGCAAGTACACTTTGTGAAAGAGATTAACCTTGCATTTATTAGATTGTGTGTCCTGCCTTGTGTGATTCATTTCCTCCCCTAGTGATATCTGAACAAGCTGCTGTCAGATTTATTCCTTGTCAATTATTTGTACATTGAAACTTTCAGACATATTTGCTTCGATTGAGAGATGTTCAAGCAAATATAAAGTACGCCCCAAAAACAGATTCTCAAACACACTTGAGTAAAATTTCCAACAGACTTGTTTGTCCACAAAAAGAAAAAGAAAGGGGAAAATAGTCAGTTGTCCACAAAATCTAATGGGAAAATAACCATTAGTCATGTCTAACTTTGTGAAAATATAATTGAGGTAACCTTAATAGGATAATTACGAAACAAGTAATGGTAGCCATGAAAAATAAAATAGGGAGTAAAAGTTTCTCAAAAATTCAAGTAGGGTAATAACCCAAACCACTTCAGTCACCGCATCAACAATAAGGATACACAACTGTTTAACTTGAATTTCTAGGATATGCAATTGTTCAAAAAATGAAATAAGGATACACAACTGCGTAACCTGAATTTATAGGATATATGCAATTGTTAAAAATGATACGAATTAATATTTATAGGATGTGCACTTAGTTTGTTAAGGATAGCACTTGCCGGAGATAGTCAAGGATATGCATCTGGAACATCATTTTCAATATGGGATTGCTTATAGGGATTATAGAAGTTTAAAAAATTTTATCCACCACATTGGCAAAAATGTTTTCTGAAAGGGACAAACCTTATTGCATTCAAAAGATTGTCTATTTTGCCTTGTATTATTCATTTTCCATGTTGGTAAGATCTGCATAAACAGTAACAAAAATTATTCATCGTCTGTTACAAGATAACTGAAACTTCTTAGAGAAAATCTTAAACAAGACTCATATATTATGCATTCACTTCTGCAAAGTAAATGATTATAAGGGTTCGTTTGGAAAGTGAGTTGGCTTTTTGACTTTTTGGCTTTTTTGACTATTTTAGCCTGGGACTAAAAAGCCTAGTTTGAAGAAATAGCCATTGAAGCAATGATATGTACTCCTCTGTAACTTTTTGCAAGGAATGCACTCCCAATGAAGTAAGCACCACAAATCAATGAAGCAGTAATGAAGAGAGTGAAGAGACAAGATTTACTCTTTGGATCCAACAGTAGAGAAAACCTGCAAAGATAATAAAAAATAAATAAGAATAGGAAAAAATTTTGTATAATAAAATGTAGTAATAATAATTCAGATTGATATAGCATGATCCTTTTACTGTCTTTAGTGAGCAAATATTAGTGAGATGTCCCCGTTTCACACTATTGTTACTATGGAAGCATATCACTTATTTTAGATGGAAAGAACAATACAACAATAAACGGAAAAAGACAAAAACTCCATTTTTTTCTATTTCTAAATTATTTTAGAAGCTCAATTAGGTGTGTCCCACAAACAAATTTTTAAGGTGAACAATTGCACAAGTGTGTTTCTTTATAAGTTCCAGTTACTTTTTATTCACTTCAATTCCCCGTTTAATAGTTTATTTTAATTTTGTTAACTAATATCTGTTATACCATCTCTTCTTGTTCCTAGCTTCTATTTTCATTATCGAAAAAATGTCAGATGCACCAAAAACTCATTTGCCAGCATTTTTGTTAGTCAACTATTAGAAACAAAACATAAGCTTCCACAAGTTCATCCAAACAGATCTCAATTAAGTGAGACAAACCACGGTAGGGTTTGCACCAAGTAATCTATTTGTGGAGTGAGAAAGAGAGCATGTTGACCTTAAGAGCAGGAGCATCTAGATATACACACAAATATATATATATAAAATGAGATTTTTATGCATCAATTGTTATTATTAGGATAATATACTTAGTATGAATTCAAGCATGTGTCTTTTATATTTAAATAAACTAGGGAACATGTGTCTAATTTTTCTTAAAATATAATTGACTTCAAAAGCAACTTGAAATGTTCGCCTGAGGATAACTAGTGTATAATTTACAGTGTTTGAAGCTGCAGAGTGGGTCTAACCTTTGTGGCCGCAACTTATACTATTATGTTAAATACCATGAATACAGAGAAGTGCCAGTTTTTATTTGTGACAATGTTAATTCATCTTGAATCCACTGATTGCCTCATATGAATTTGTTTACATCAGTTTGCAAATTTCCAACAATTTCACCTCAATTTGCCAATTCGCAAATTAGAGCACAATTATGTATACATTTGTAAATCCAATGAAGTGTCCAACAAAAAAATTTGAAATATGTACAAAATGGTAAACAAGACAAAAGGTTTTAGTGTACTGCTCATAAGACATCTAAAAGTTCACTGTATGCATATATGAAGACCTCCAAATCACCCGAACTCAGAACGAGAAAGGAGGGAGGGGAAGAGAAAGAGGTTCTTCCGGACCTTTGTTGCCAGAAATTTAGAAGGAAACTGAGAGCAATTAAAGATTTAGGTTTGGGTTCTCTCATGTTCAAATTTGAACTTGGCAAAAGTTGAGGGGGTTGTGGGGCCATCATGGATCCTGTCTCAATTATTTAAATTATTCATTTTGTCAGGCACTCAATATATTTGACCGATCCGATAATTATAACCTTTTTATTTTATTGCTTTTAGCTTTAAAAAAAATTAAAATTCGATGACGTGTATGTTTTTTAAAATAAACCATCCTTTTTTTTTTTTTGAGGCAAATACAATAATAAAATAAAAAGATTACGATAATCGAAGATATACACGGATGACCCAACAAAATGAACGATTTGGTTCATTGAAATGGGCCATGGTAGGTCCTCAGGCCCCTAATTTGAATTCGAGAGAAGTCTAACTTAAATATTTAAAAGTAAGAATTTCTAGGATTGGAACCAAGCAGAACAAAATTGCAAAATTGAGTGTATATACACTCTTTTTTCTTACCAGGTAAGCAAGGTTTGATAACCAAACCGATTTCCAAAGAAAAAAACAAAACTTGAACATCTGGCAAGATAATAGCACAGGCTCAGCTCAGTGCAATAAATTTCAAATGTTTGGGGTATCAAATTATGGGTTTTTTAGCTTTATTTTTTCCTTTCCTTTTCCTCTGTTATTCTCAGCATCCAAACAGACCATGAAGCAACTTGAAACACACACACAATACAAACAAATACCAATACCAATCTGTATATATGAACTTATGACCAATCAAATTAAACCCATTCCAAAAATAACAATCACAAAAAACAAAACAAAAACATAGAAATAGTGAATAGAGAGAAACTTACAGGATGGAATGACTTCACGTTGCATGAACTTGCCAAAAGAACATCCAAAGGGTGTCTGAAAAGGAGATGATTGAAAGAAAAAAAGCTTTTTGAAGGAAAGGGAAAGTATGTATATCTATCTATCCATCCATCTATATTTTTGGTTCCGTTTGATAGAGTTTTGTAAATATGATTTGAGAATATGAGTTGTGTTTTGAGTTTGTGAGTTGTGGAATTATAATTTGAGTGTATAAAATTTGTTTGATTATGATTTTTGAATAGAGTGTTGAATTGAGTTTTAAATTGAGTGTGGAATTGAGTTTTGAAAGTTTGATTTGACATGTGAAGTAAGAAAATTTGTTTGGTTATGAGTTTTGAAAAGAATTTTCAAAACTTAATTCAAATTATTATAACTCATAATAAAACACACTACTTTCACTCATAACAAAAAATCGTAACATATTTAAATATTAAAATATTTAAAATCTTAACAAAATTAAAATATTAAAATATTTAAAAAATTAAAATATTGATTTAAATTGAGTTTTGAAAAGAGTTTTGAATTATGTATTTGGTTACGAGTTTTAAAAAGTAATGATTATGCTTTGAATTGAATTTTGAGAAATAGGTGTAGAATTATGATTTGAAAGCTCAAAACAAATAACACACTCAAATCAATGAACGAAACTATAATTTAAAAAACTTACCATTATTTTCAAATTAAGTTTTTACTCTCTTCTCCATCACCCACCATCTTCTGTCCACCCACCGCTGCCACAACCGCCTTCCAACGAGCTCCAATCACATTTTAGCAGACACTATCCGTTTACCCTCATCCGCTAGTCAACAACTCTAGTAACTCACCAATTATGTTTTTCATTAAATTTGTTTTTCTGATTTTTGTGAACAAATGTAAGAAATTGACAAATTTTATCAACATATTTTAGTGTTTGATATAACAAAGAACAAAAATCAAGAGAATATATATATATATATATTTTGAAAAGATGACAGATATTTTCAAATTAAAATCTTATAATGCTATTACAACCACTTTTATAGCGACTAGTAGGCTACATCACCAACACGCCTGCACATCTGCCACTAAAATCGTGATTGCTGCAACCAACAACCTTCGTCACCTAGGGAATCGAGGAGCCTACAAGTGCATGGTAACACCAGTTCAATTTGTTGGGGAGAAATTTTAGAGCCCATGTGCTTAACATTAGGATTCAACAATGCAAGATGCTAAAGCATAAACACTCACAGTGTACTCCGAGCCAAGATAGAGAACTAGTTAGAAATCAATGCATGACCCTAGTTCATGTTAAGATGGCTAATGCAACACATGCAAAATGTAACTAGAAATAGGCTCGGCTATTCTAAGATGACATATGAGATGCGACAAATCGATACATGTATTCAAATAGAAATTGAAATACAATGCAGTTAGTATGATGCGCCGAGCCCGGTGTATGCAATACAGATGAATGATGCGAACACGCATAGCATAAGGATGCTAAATTAAATATGCCCTAAAACTAACCATCATAAGCAGTTAAGTAAAAGAGAGAAAGAAATGAGAGTTAGAAGACATGCATCACACACACGCACACTTATTACAAAATTGTGCCCTCTCTACGGAAGGACCAAAAGAATAATACAAATCATCTAATTAACTAATAAGCTAATTAATTAATTACACAACCAAATCAAAATAAATAACTATTCTAAGTTATTTAAAGCACTGAAATGGCCTTGAGACGAGAGATGAATGCATGCTCGGACGGCTTTGCTTGAAAATCCATCGTCATGCTTCATGTTGCCTCTGTTTGTACTGCTCTGTACCTCTAAAAATTGTGCCAACTTCTGTGACACTTTTGAACCATCTTGTGTACACTGTGGGAGGTCATCGACCAAGAGATGATGCCATCGACCAAGATAGGAAGGTCATCAACCAAATATAAGGCTCTCGGCCAAATGTTTATTGCCAATCGGCACTGAATATGGTCGATCGACCATCTTTTCTTGTGAAAAGCTCCTGTTGCTGCAGCAGAGGACAAACAGAGCATGTCAATAAATTTACAAGACAATGTCTGCACAACTACACCCCTTATCATGTTTAAGACTCAAAGGTGTGTAGTTCTCGACCCTCGAACCACCAATTACGCATTCCAATGCATGATGGCCAAATGAGTCAAGTGTGCAATTCAATATCAAATGAAATGCACAAAAATACATAAGGGGCCCCAACCTCTATCATGCTTGATCAAGAGGCAAGGGATGCACACACAATGCAATGCAACCTAAGCATGCAAGCAAGCTAATGCAACATGAGCATGCAAGCAAGCGATATGCAACCTAAGCATGCAAAAATGCATGCATACAATGTAATAGGCATGCGACAACAATACCAATAACAAACATGCAACAACATGTGATCTAACAAGTATGCAAGATGGATGAGCAGGCAACAACATGTCAATTAGCAAGCATGCAACAATCATGTAAGCATAATGTAATAGGACTAGCATGCCACAACATGCAAGGAAACTAATATGCAACAACATATAATGTACCAAGTATGCAATAAGCATGCGACAACATGCGAGGTAAACATGCAACAACATGCAAAAGGATGGACTTAAACTAAAGTGGAAAGCTCTTAAATATGCCCAAATCAGTGGCCAAAATGCTATAAAAATGAAAACAAAGGTACATACAAACATGCATGCCAATTGGCCTATCACATAAGCATAGGAGAGCAACTTTCAAGAACACTTAAAAGAGGACAAATATGGACATGTGACAGACATTGTAAGCTTTGAAATCATGTTAGGAAAGGTGTCAAACCAACCAAACAAAGCAAGCAAGTCATGCGAGAAGGCTTAAAGCTTGAAACTAGCCAAGGGGCTCAAACCAAGGATATGCAAAATCTGAAGCAAATGACAAGTATAATCCAAAACAGTCCTAGATCATGCCAAAATGAGCCTAAAACATGCAAGGACCAAAGCCAAAATAAGCTAGAACAAAGGGCCGAAAGCATGAGGCATGCAAGGCTAGAAAAGAGATGTTACACTACACCTATCAAAACTAAACATGGCATGACTTAAGCAATGAAAAATAGAGTTATGGTATGGCAAAAAAAGACCAAAAACTCACTTAGATGGCATCCTAAAGACCTAAACATGATGGCACACACAATGACCCATTCATGAGGCATAAAACATCAACTCTTTAAAGCATTAAAGGAGTGACAAGTGCACGTGTTTGAGCATGAAACATAGACTGAAATAATATAACAAATTATGCCAAATCATTGAAATAGTCCAAGTAAAGTATGCTAGTGACTTGGACACTTAAGGCTAACAAGCTAGAATGCCTTATGGCTATACAAAGCATGGCATATATGGTCAAAACAACTCAAATCAGAGTTTAAGCATGTTGCAACAAGGCTAAAAGTTTCATAGAGTCGAGCCAAAATCATGTTAGAAACATGGCTTAAAGCATGATGCATGTTAAGGCAAATGAAAGGATTGCAAGGCAAGTACATGAAGCATACATGGTATGTCCAAACCAAGTCAAAAAAGTGTTATATCATGGAAAAACAAAGCCTAATACATACTGAAATGAAGCTAAAACAAGTCAAGCAAACATGCTACCAATATAAGCCATTTATACTAGCATACAAGACAACAAGGAGAGGGGATGACCCTCTCCTATTTAGGACTCTAAAATCACCTTTCACCACTGAAAATCCTCTGGATTTCAATGGTAGAAAGGTCATGCAAAGCCAAGAACAAGAGCCAAAAGGGATGGCCTAAAATAAGGCCAAACAAGGCCTAAGAGGGGGTAAACAACCCCAAACCAAAAAATGACCTTAAACAAATGTCTAAAGCAAGTAAAAATAGAACTTTTATCAGTTAAGAGCTAAGCTTAAAACAATAAGCAAGAAGGGATAAAAGCTTAAGCAAGAATGGGATATTAAAAGCAAGTTTGCTCACCCTTGAAGAACCTCTTCAAGAACACCACTCCAGCAACTTTCTCTGATCAAAATCACCTCAAGAACCCTAACACCAACTCCCTAGCACCTCAGCAACCAAGGATGGCGTATTGCTAGGTGTTTGTGTGCAATAGTGAGAACAAAACACCCTTTAGAGCATAAAAACACACACAAAGATGTAAAAAGAGGGAAATACAGATATAGATGGATACAACTTCTCTAACCCTATTTTTCAGAACCTCTGAGAAGGGAGGAGGAGCTCCCTTCTTATAGAATTTCAAATTCTAAAACTTCCTAAGCAAGCTAAACAAGAGACAAATATGGAGGAGGGGAATTGTGGATGCCAACTGTGACAGTTGGCATAAAATATCTGCATAAAGCAGATGAACAGGGCTCGGCCAGAAAATATGGCTGATCGGCCAACATAAGGGCCGACCGACCAAAAAAAGTGCCGATCGGCCAACACTTTTGGCCGATGGCAAGAAAACAAAGTCGATGGCTTCATGTCTTGGCCGATGGGTTGAGGGGATGGCCAATAAGCCACCCTCTTCCCTCAGAAGCAAAAACACAAGTGCTTGGTCCACAACCAAGCACAAAACAGTCAAGTTGAGAGATCTTGAGATAAGGCGCGCTGCCGAGACCTCTGAGAACTCAAAACGAACACGAGCATGGATGGTCATCGAGTGTTCAAACGATGACGTCCAAGTCTTGAGGACGATCAAAAATGAGGTGTCTATAACTACTTTTCTTGGAAAATGGGCCCGACGTTTTAAGCTTGTTTGAAATATCGCAGAAGTATAAATAGGCAAGAAGGAGGCTGGATTAGGGTTCTGAAATTAATTCCAAGAAGAGAGAGAGGCTAGGGTTTGGAGGAAAATGAGGATTCTGAAGCTTTCAAGACAACTTCCATGGGAGCTTCCATCTCTCCTGTCTCTTCCACCTCTTCCCACTCTTCCATGAGTGACTAGGTTATTCTTTTCTAGGGTTTTGATGAAACCCTAGCCATGTAATTAGGTTTTCTTTTCGATTTTTAATTATGTAAAGGTTTGAACAATTGTATGGTGTTTTAGAAGTTTTATATATTTTTTTTCCATTATCTCTTCAAGTATTCAATTTTCTGTGATTGTTG